CCACGCCGCCCCCGCACCCCCGCAGGGTCCGGCTCGGGTCGTCCCCGGGCGTGGGGCGCTGGGTGGGCGCTGCGGGCCGCCTCCCCCGCGCCTCGCCGCCCCCTCCCCCGCGGGAGAGGGTTTGGGCAGAGCCTGCTGCCGCTGAATGCACTTTTATTGCCTCTTGTCTCTGACAGAGGCTCTTCCTCCGCGCCCCGCCCGGCCCCCGCGACCTGCTGCAATGTTTATGGTGCCTCATCTTTTCCTTTCGCTTCCTGTTTTTTCCTCTCCCGCTCCAGCGGCATTGAGTGCCGCACTGCAGTAGAGCCGTAAATACCTTTAACAGCTGCCTGCCAACCCAGGGGTGAAATACTGTCTTTGTTCGGATTTTTTTTTTTTCTGCCCCCAGCGCTCATAAAACACCCCGTGAGAATTATATTTGCCTGGGGAAAGAGCAACATTATTGGGAAATAAACGAATTGGCGGGATTTGCTGCTCTTAAGAGCCCAAAGCCAACGCGTGTTGCCTTGCTCAGCCTGATCGTGTTTCCCGGGCCCGCGGTTCACGTCGCGTCGCCTCCCTGCACCAAACCCCTGCCAGCCCCCAGGAGCAGAGGTTGCCCTTCTCCTCCAGGCAACTTACAGCAGCAACGGGAGCCCAACCTGACTCCCCAAATGGCAGCCGGCGCCAGCGGTACCTGGGCACTGCCAGGGAGCGCAGGCTGCCGTTTCCTGCTGGTTATTTTTGTGGTGGAGTTCTTTTATTGCCTGTGCGTCAGTAACGTGTGGGCTAGGGATCGGCTGTTTCCTTTCAACGAAAAAAAAAAAAATAAATAAAAAATGAGATGAGACATAAATTCTGTCGAACACGTTGGGAAACGAAGCAGGTGTGAGAAAAATGTGAATGGGAATTCTGTACGCTAAAAATTACAGCACACCAACACATCTACACTCATACAGGGACTCGCGTTATATAGGGGTATAAATATATATAAAAATACAATCCTTATATGTGCCATATGTTTACACATACATACAGATTTTGTTATGAATGCTCACAAACACATAGGCATTTTTAAGGGCATACACATACCTATGTGTGCTTCAATGTTAATGAAAGAAATGAAAGGAAAAGATTGAAAAAAAAAAAAACCAAACCACAAGAAAAAGAGAAAAAGAAAGCAAGGAAGGAAGCCGTTTAGGAGGGAAAAGAAGCCGAATCCCCTCATAAACCAGTGGGATCATAAATGCGTATGCGTATCCGTATGTGCCAGCATATGGACCCGCAGACACACACATGCACATTAGAATTCGTTAGAACATCCTGCTTTTGTTTTCTTCTTTTCCCCCAGGCTACGAATAATTTCAAAACAGCTCAAGGACGAGATTTTTCGAAGTTTTTGGAGAGATTTATAGCCAAGCAGCTATTATTACTGTGTCACCTTGGAGGGATTCTGCGAGTGAAACCTAAAGCAATACATACTTTCCAAGTTACTCTGGAAGACTGTTGCTATGTTGAAAACGATTCCTCCCAAATAATCCCCAAGTCCTTCGGCAGCGCAGGGCGGCCGAGTAACGCAAAGAGCCAAAGCGTGAGGGAAGGCATCTGACTGCAGCGGGGCTCGGGCTTAGCAGGCTGGGGAGCTGCTCGGGGGTGGATTAAACAAGAATTTATTCTGCGGGTTCCAAATATGTACCTAGGGCACGTCCCACACCTTTCCACCCTCACTGGGTATCCTTTAATCAGGCATTTTGCTTTACCGTTAAATTAGTGGCTGCTTTTGAGGTAAAGGGCGATTCGGTAAATTCCTGCAGTGCAATGGCACGGGGCATTTCCATTACTGACCAACGATGTAAACACTAAATACCAGGCAGCGGCTGTTCTACTGTGCATTAGCACGTTGAAAACGAAGAGAAGCTGTGTAAAATATGTACACGTTCAAAATAACACACTTCAAAAGAATATATGTTCTACAGAGAGAAGTAGAGGTGTAGATACGTATATACACGTATATAGGTAATGTGGACAGGGATATACACACATACATAGGCAGCGCAGATAAAGTTTACGTGATGTTCTATGTCCTCTACATATTTCAAAATAAACCTGGGGTTTGTTTTGTTTGGGATTTATTGTTTGGGTTTTTGTTTGGTTGGTTTTTTGTTTCGGTCTTTTTTTGTTGTTTGTTTGTTTGGGGTTTTTGTTTTGTTTTGTTTTTATGGTTTTGTTTTGGGTTTTTTGTGGGTTTTTGGGGTTTTTTTTCCCAGAAGTCGTCCCCTATTTAGCCTCCCGTGATTTCCACGTGGGTAAGCATCCGTGCTGCGGGGGTGCGCTCCCGGCCGCGGCTCGGTGCAGCCCGCCCCCGCACTGCCCGGCGGAGGAGCCCGGAGCTCCGAGCCCGGCCCGTGTGCATCCCGCCGAGCCCACCGGAGCCGCAGCCCCGGCTCGGGCACGGTACCGGGGGGGAAGGATGTGCTTCAACCGTGCTGGCGGGGCGGGCGGGGGCTCCCGGGGCTGGCCTCGGGCACGGCCCCCGGCCCGACCGGCTCGGCGGGGCCGCTCCGCGCCCTCCGCCCCCGCGGGAGCACTGACCCCCATTCTCCTGCGAAAACACCTGTTAAGCTTTAAAGTTACGCGACCGCCCTTCCGCCGCGGGGAAAAAAAAAACACAGGCTCACCACTCCGCGATGCAGACTTGGCAGGGGGAAAATTACACCACCCCTCCCCCCCCAAAAAAAGGCCTTTTACTGGAATAAACCCCGCTGCCTGAGCGCCCTGCGCCCCAGCCTTCCGCCCCTCGGCGCGGAGGGTCGTGGATCGCCGCGCTACCGCGGCCCGCGGCGCCTTTTCCGCGCCAGACCGCGCAACAGCCTCACGCACCCCGCCGCGTGCCCAGAACTGTTATGAATAATTATAACACCGATAATTACATATCAATAACAGCAACAGTACTAGTAGCAATAATGATAATAATACTAATAATAGCAATAGTAACAGGAAGAATAAGGGGCTGGGAGGGACAGGTGACCAAGCGGTGCGGGGGGACAGGGGAGCCGGCCCCGCGCCGAGGTGCGGGACGGTGCGGGGGCGAGGAGAACGGGCGTCCAGCCCGAGGGGAGGCGAGTGCTTACCGGTTCGCGGCACTGCCCGCCTGCGGAGGAGCCCGGGAGGGTCGCCGTAATCCATTTTGCGCCCGCGTAGCAATCCGTGCGCCGGAGGAGATAGCGGCAGCGGGGGCAACGAGCGGCGGGAGAGGAGGTGGGGGGTTGGAGGCGGCGGGCGCGGGGCTCCGCGCATCCCTCCGCGGGCGCGGGAGAGGAGACGGCGTGGGGCCGGGGAGGTGTCAGCGCCGCGGCGGCGGCGGGACCGGCCACGGGTTTCGGGGAGCGGGACACAAACGTGAGGGCGACTGGCATACACCTCAGCCCAGACAAAGGTTAGGAAAAGAGGGGCTGAGGCTCTCTGAAGGCAGAATGCAGGGGGAAATTCGCCAGGGAAATCAGGAAAAGGCCATGAAAGCGCTCGCTGCCTGCACATGACCAGCCGCAGCCAATGACGAGCCCAAATAGGTCATAAAAAGGTCTATTACCAAGTTGTAAATTTTCTTCAAACAAAAAGGAATTTACTGCAATTCCTTGCGGATTTTGCACATACTGCTTCCCAGCGCCATGTTTCTTTCGCCTGCGCGCTGCGTTTTTTACCGAGTCCTCGGTCCCGCCTGCCCGCGGCCTGCGCGCCCCGGGCGCGGTGGCGGGGCCCCGCGGGCACGGCCGGGACGCGGGAGATCCGCGCGGGGGCGAGACGCCGCGCAGCAGCCGCGGGTCCCCAAAAAAGCGAGGGGGGGGACACACCGCGCTGTCCCGGTGGGACCATGCCTTGCGCCAACTAAAGGGGGGCTTTACCCGCACCCCCTTGCCCCGGCTCCTCCGGGCCCCCAAAGAAACCGCATTTCCTGTAGCGCCCGCTACTGAAGCCGAAGCCGTCGCCGACCTAAAAATAATCCGCGCCGCTTCCCCACCCCGTTCGTGCCGTTCCCACAGGTTGCGGCGGGGGGTGTCACCGCGCCCGGGCTGCCCGCAGCCTCCCCGGGAGGGGCCGCCTCCGCCCTCGGTAAAACCTTCCCGGGGGCGCTCGGATCCGGGGCACCAGCAGGGAAAGCCCGATTCTTAGAAAGTACTCGAAAAGCCTGAAACCGGCCGCGTGTCCACAGGGAACGCTCGGCTCAGAGGCGGAAGATTGTGGGTGGTTGTTGCTCAATTTTTGTTTCAGGGAATAGCCCGAGCCCTCCGCCAGCGGCCTCCGTGTCGGTTGTACCTGCCTCGAAAACAGAGGTTTGGTTTTTTTTAAAAAAACCAAAACACTCCTAAAGATGTAGAGTCTTTTTGACACGCTGCTTCAGGCAGTCGCACACCCGTGAATATCACACCCGTGCAGCGTGTCCCTCGGCCGAGGCACCCGCACTTTTGGCGGTGACCCCGCAGCACCCACGCCCGCGCGGAGCTGCTCGACGTGGAAGGGAGAAATCGTGCGGAAACCAAAGGCGCGGTACCTCCGCACCGCGGCCGTTGCAGGTGGCCTCTCTGCCGCCGCGGCAGCCGCCACACACTCGGCTGCGGCGTTTATCCGCCAAAATACCGCTGCTTGCTCCGGACTCGATGGCTCCGGTTTTACCGGGGGATTGCCTGGGCCAATTTCTGGCTCACTTTTCTTTTTCTTAGCGCTACTCCAAGTACGAAGGAGGGAGAGATTCAGCTGCCAGGCTACGGGGGGGGGAATTACCTTAACAACTACAGGGATTTATTTTGTTTTTCTTAATAAATAAGACAGAGACGATCTCAGTTACCGCTAGGCCTTCGCAACTGGTGTGTGCACAAGGAAGTCATTTTTTTGCCTGCGTGGCTGCTTTCCCAGTCGGCCCAGGGAGAGCGACTCTAACGGAAACTTCGTCAGGAATATTTTAATGTTATTCTCTTTATCTGGAAATTAAAAACAACTATGGCAGCAGCTCTTCCCCGGACAATTATTAGCCTAGGAGGTGCTCCGCTCGGCTGCGAAGGTCTCCGTTGCGCGGTGTCCCCCCGAGGGGTTTGCGGCGCGGCTTTCCCCGCGGAAGGGCCCGCCGGGACCCCACTGCCCCCAGCCTGGGCCGCAAGCGCGGCGGGGGAAAGAGTCCCATTCCCTGCCTGCACACCCAGTGCCGGTGCCATCGGCAGCGGGATGCATTTTGAAAACCGAGGGGGTTTTTAGGCGTCAGGCGACTTGGGTTTCCTTAAACGCGCCGCCACCACCCCCACATCCTTCCTGGACACTATGGGCACCGGCGGGTTTATGCAAATCCACGCAGCAAAATGTTTACTCCATCGCTTTGCTGCAGTTCCCCCTCGTTTACAGCCCTTAACCGATTACGCCATTAAAATAAACCGGGAACAATCGCTCCGCTCGCTTCTGCCTCCCTCTAGAGCCGGCGCTTTGCAGGAGTGGAAGCGGGTCCGGCCCGGAGCGGGGAAGAGAAAGGGAAACGAAATGAACCAAAGGAACCGGGCAAATCCGGGCCCAGGGGACGGTTACCGGGAGCGGGGCGGTGGGAGAGGTGGGTGCCGGCACCCGGTACCTCCCCAGGCCCGTGGATGTGAGTTTCCGAGCTCGGCCCCTCTTCCGTGGGGAGCACACTCGTTTCTGGGGCAGATAGGATAAACTGGTGGCGTTTGCCGCAGCGGCTGGAGCGGTTTCCTTCACGGAACCCTGACTCACGGCGGGGTGAGGCGGCGGGGAAAAAATGACGCAGAAATCTTAGTAGGGATTTATACCTCATACCTCAAGCCCTCTCTGCCTGCTGTTCCTAAAAAGGACTGCTCTCGGCCGTCCCCTCAGACACTGCGGTCTGCGGGACCACGCCGCGGAGCGGGGAGAATGGGGAGGGAGGGGAGAGGGGGAGATAAATTAAACCGTTTTACTGAGCAGAGCCGGCTTTGTTTCCCCTTGGCTGCCGGGAACCGTGCGGCAGGCTCTGCTTTCGCCGCTGAGGCCTCCGCTAGGAAACGCACCCCAACCCTCTTAAAAATATTGAAGGGGAAATAAAGTCCCTTTTTTTCTCTTTTTTTTTTTTCTTTTTTTTTTTTTTTTTTTTTTTTTTTCCAGGTTACGCGTGGCTGGCACCACAAAGCGTTATAGCCCCACGCAAGGCCACGAAAGCTTTGCATTTCTCTGCTCATCCGCCGCCCTCGGGGGAGGCCAGGCCCGATTTGGCCGCGGTTCGCACGGCGGGGCTGGAGTAGCCCTCGGGGCCGACGAGGAGCCATCGTGCGCCCCGGTCCCGTCTCCCCCCAGCCGGTAAAGGCCGTGTTTGCCGGCAGCGGGCCCCCTGCCCCGTCGCCCCGCAGTCTCCGGGCGGGAAAGGGAGGGGGGCGCAGAGGAAAAGGCGATGGCGGGGCCCAGGCGCACACGTCGAGGGGGTGGTGGCGTGGGCTCAGGCCGCAGGTGGGGCGGCCATCCCCGCTGCTGCCGCCCCGGCCCCGCAGACGGCGCGGCTGGCGGCCTCCGAAACGCCGGTACCGGTGGCGGTGGCGATGGCAGGGCGAGCGGGCGGCAGGCAGCGAAGATCAGGTTTTGTATTCAAGACGCCATTCCCAGCCTCCACAGAAACCCAGCGTCGAAGGACGGGTGGGGGAAAGGAGCAGAAGGGGATTAGTCCAGACACAGAGAGGCTCTGAAGGCTGTTGGAGGAGTGAATTACAAAAAGGACCTGAGGAAGCCGATATGTTTTTGTATTTGAATAAATTTGGTTTATTTTAATCAAATATCAATAGCAGAAGGTTAAATATATTTCTAAGATATTTTCTTCAAATTTATTAGATTTATTTAATTTACTCAACATAAGAACAAGAATTAAAATAGTACAAGTGCACTTGTCTTGATTAATAAAGCGTTGATAAATGTCTTGCTTATTGGTATTTATTATTAGGAAGTTTATGTCGTTCCCCGCAATCACCGTCTTTTAAGATTGCAAAAAAATATATATTTTATATATATATATATCTCATTAGAAATGTATTGCTACAAACTCTGTATCAAATTTCCAAAAGAAGTAGAAGTACTTTTAAATCTAGAGATTGTGCCGGATACAGTTAAAAACAAAACAAAACAAAACACAACAAAACAAAACAAAACCACAAACGACCGAAGCACCCGAGCAAAGAAATGTCAAGCGGAGGGACACGGGGTCACTCGTCCCACGGCAGGACCACGTACAGGGGGAGACGGACCGAAATGTCGGGCGATGGCGCTGGGTATTTTTGATAGCCTTTCACAAAGGCTTTTAGGGCAAAATTTAATTCGTCTGGCCTTCAGCTCTGTCTTCTTCCAGATCATGTGCTTCCTTTTTGGCCTCCCCTTCCTTTCCCTCCTGTCTGGAAGCGGGGAATTTGTCCTTGTTGTTCTCTTTTTTCCATTTCATCCTCCTGTTCTGAAACCAGATCTTTACCTGCCTCTCGGTGAGTCCTAGCGAGTGGGACACCTCGATCCTCCTCTTCCTGGTCAGATAGGGGTTAAAGAGGAACTCCTTTTCCAGCTCTAGAGTCTGGAATCGACTGTATGTTTGTCTTCCTCTCCTCCTACCCGGCGCCGCTGTTTAAAACAAAAACACAGGGTTTTGGGGGTTGGTGTGGCCGTTCCAAACAAGGCGCAGGCAGGGAGGGAGGGCTGGGGGGTCCCTCTGGAAATCCCTCGGGGGAAGCCCCACAGAAAGGCAGGGAGAGAAAGCAGAGGAGTCTAGAGCTTTACACACAAGTGCGGGGAAAACAGCGACAACAAGACACACAGGGTGCCTCAGCTCTCCCCCGGGACCGAGGGAAGGGGGTCACTTTATTCTCTATGAACCGGCACCCCCCGGCCCCGCACCCTTCCCGTTCAGGCGGCGGCGGCGGGAGCCGGGCGAGCGTGTCAGCTGCACCTCTGTGCCCAAGAGGCGACTTTAAGGCTACTCTTGGGGTGGCAGCCGCCTTCTGCAGAGGATTTTGTTTTGCTTACTGTATCGCTTTATTATCGCAAGCCACCGCGGTGATAGGAATCGCGGGGAGAGCGGGAGGGAGAGTGGGAGGCAGAGGCGGGGAGCGAGGAGGCAGCGAGAAAGAAGCGGGAGGAGGAAAAGAAAAAAAAGTTTCAAACTCAGACGTGAGATGGAAGCAAATTTTTGACTGCGTCCAACCTTGTGGTCTCATCCAGGGATACATTTGAGCAGGAGACGAGCTCTGATTTAAGTGGTCTGGTTCCTCGCCAATATTAGCACTGGACGATTTACAGTCAGGATATTGTACCAGCTCGGCCTCTTGCTGTGTCGTAAAAATCTGCTGTCTCTGTAAGTTATCGTATCCGTAAAATTTAGCGGGCTCCCCGTGACAGGTAACCCCGCTGCAGGGGGCAGGAGGCGGAGGCGCGGCGGGGGGAGGCGGAGGCGGCTGGTAGGCGGCCGTGGGGCTCCCCCCGGCCGGCTGGTAAAAGTCCGGGGCCGCGCCG